TACCCCGCTGTTCTCAAATGCACACCCTTAACAAGGTGGCCACCCACTGCACCACATGGGTCACCAGACAAGTCTTGTCAGTACCTTGTTCTGCTCTACCAGCCAGATCTGGGAGAAAATCAATTTCAGTAGCTTAAGCCACCCACCCAGTCTGTGGTATTTTGTTACAGCAGCCTACGCATACTAATACAATAAGACTTTAATTTTCTTCATGCTGATTCCTATAGTTAGCATTTAAAGTCTTCTGCCAGGCATGAAATAATTTTTTTTTGCAATTACAAATAGGTCTTCTCACTTCCACTTTTAATAGATTAAAAGCTTTTGTTTGTTTGTTTTGTTGTTTGAGACAGGGTTTCTCTGTGAAGCTCTGGCTGTTCTGGATCTTGTTCTGTATCAGGCTGGCCTTGAACTCAGAGATCTGCCTGCCTCCCAAGTGCTGGTACTAAAAGTATGTGCTACCACGCTGAGCTAAATTGATTTATCTTAAATCTTGTAAATTTCTTTATTGATCCTAGGGCATGTAGTTGGAGTTGGTGGAGTTCTTCTTGTTGTACACATCAACTGCAAAGAAGATAGATTCCTTCTGTTCATTTTCAATAGTAAGAGACGGCTTGTTTCTTGCTTTACTACATTAATAACTAATAAGGGGTAGGAGAGATGGCTCAGTGGTTAAGATCACTGGCTGCTCTTGTAGAAGACTTGGGTTCAGGTCCCAGCACCCACATGGTAGCTCACAACTGTCTGTAACTTCAGTTACTTGGGATCTGACCTCTGTGGGCACACATATGCAGGCAGGCAAAACACTCATACACATAAAATAAATATTAAAAAGACTAGGGCATAGGAAGGTGGCAGAGCCCCTTGTCTTGTTCACTCAAGGGCTGGGGCTTATCTCATAATGCAACTCACAACGAGACAAAGCTGAACTATCAAATATGAGCAAATGATGGAGCTTGTTGATTTGAATTATGATTGAACATGGCTTCAGGGACCTTATCAGTTAATAAAATTTTCTTTTGTTGTGAGATGGGGCTTACTCTGTAGCCCAGGCTAGTCTGGAACTCATTAGGACTTCATATGAAACTGAGGCCAGTCTTAAACTCAGAAGCCTCCCACCTCTACCTCCCAAGTGCTGGGTCCCTCTAGCAGCTCAAAAAACAGGACATCTGAATTAAAATCAATAAATAATAGGCGTAGGGAAGACCTATTGCAATGTGGACAAAAAAAAAAAAACAATGAAATGTTTTCTTCCCCATGTACTAGCCCCAGTTAGAACCCTCAACAGTATCACAGGCAGCAAAGATGTACAGCCTACTGCCCCAGTGTAGATAACTATGTTATTTTATGACCCGAGCTTCAGTTCACAGATTCCAGGCCTAACAATATTGCGAGGCAAAATCTAAAAACATTAAGGTTCATTGATAGAGAACACTGGAAATATAACCCAATGTCCATGGTATTTTATTTAGCCTCAAAAATGAAGTAAAACCTAGATCTAATGGCCTGAAAGGAGCCCATGACATTTCATGACAGGCCTGGCATGATGGCACACGCCTTTGGTCCTGTGATTTGAGACAGAGGTGGTCAAATCTCTGTGGTTTTGGGGATAGCCTGGTCTACCCAAAGAGTTCCAGGCACAGCTACATAGTGAGGCAGTCTCAAACAAATAAATGCAACTGCAAAAAGCAACAGTCACAGGCCAGAAAGAGCCTGTTTATTTTTGCTACAAAGCAAATTTAAATGCCTAAATTCAGGGGGTGTTTGGTCAAGGGCTATGGCATGGCATAAGGACAAACAGAAGACATTACTGATTTTCATTCCTTGCTGAATTATTTAACTTGTATTCTTATACTATTAAAAATTAATAAAGAAAACCAGGGAGGAGGATGGGAGGAATTTTATCTTGCAAACATCAATTAACTCCTCGATCCCTGTGTACTGAAAGTTCATAGCTTGGGGTCAGTGAGATGTCTCCATGCATTCGCTGTGCAAGCCTGGTGTCCTGAGTAAAATCCCTGGCACTCAAATAAAGGTGGGAGGAGAGAACACATCCCAGAGTAGACCTCCTGCCTCCACATATGTGCATTGTGGCATGTGTGCACCTGTACACACAAGTAGCATACATACATTCACACAAAATTAAAACCAAAAACATAACCTATCTCTATTGCTAACCTCTACATTTCCAACAGAGCACAAGAAAGGAAAACGAGGGAGGGCTAGGATGTGAACAGGAGAAGGTGGGATGCATATTGCTGGAGCCCAAGGATTGGTGGGTAGAGGGTCACAGACAGATGCTGAATAGAGCTGGTACTAGCCTGAGCTCCATTCCTGTGGGAGGAACTGTGGCAGGAGGAAGATGGTAGCCTGGAGCCTCTGAAGGCTGGGGCCAGGAAGAGAGCTTCCTTGAGAGAAGGTGGCTTTGCCAGCCTTCAAGCATCTCTTGGGTCCATCTAGACACCTGTGATAATGAAAGCTCTCTCCACAGGCTCAGAAGCAGGCATGTGGCTCACTCATCTATGGAGCATCTCTTCTACGCTGCTCCTATGCTATGTGCTAAGTGAGGTACTGGCCTGCTGAGGACAGACATAGCCCCTGATACAGGACTCTTCAGGGTGGGAGGAATGGTACCTGCAGTGATGGCTACTCTGACCCCTCCTGAGCTCAGTCAGCCCAGTTATGGTGCTGTAAGAGCTATGAGTGCTAGCTTACCCTAGGTCACAGCCGAAGCTGTGAGTCCAGCCAGCTGCCAAGCCCTTGGGCACTTGATGGTGAGGTAGGACGTGGGTGAGATAGGCACTTTCAGAGCTGGAAAGCACTTTCAGAGGACTGGACAGATGGAGACAGCCCCACACTACACTCTCACAGCTGCCCGCTCCGTGGAGTTCAACAGGTACACAGGGGCCAGAGCAGCAGCCTCTTCCAGCTCCCAGGATTCCTTGAGGAAGCCCTGCCCATAGGCTGCCATGGACCTCACCTCAAGGTTACATGAGCTACCATGAAGACACAGGGAGGGACTGGAAGATCCCTCATCTTAGTCCTTAGCTCAAGAATGTCCTTAGGTAAGGATGGTTCCCACCCACCAGCTGGTCTAGTCTCATACACACACAGGAGCCAGGGCTGTGCCCTGTGAGGATATGGCCAGACCTGGGTCAGTCAGGCAACTGCCCTCGGCCCCAAGCTCCTCTTCTGAGTTAAGCCCTGCCCTGCCCAATGCCACCCTAGTGGCCTCCCTCAGTGTGAGTACAGACGTGATCATCACCAGCAGTCCTTCCTCCGCCCTGATCTTTGCCTATGGGCCTTCGTGCAACAAATCACGGGGCTCCAACAGGCCTGACACAAGAGCCTAAGGGCTGTGTACCTCACTGCCTCAGAGGAAGAGCCAGTCCCTGAAGAGAGCCTCTAGGCTCTCTGCTGATTCCAAGTGCATGGGGATGCAATCAAAAGGTCTCCACAGCTGAGGAGGAGGTGCCCGGGATACATGTGTGTGAGCATACATGCCTATCTACATGCATGTGCACGTGTGTCCTGTGAATGTATGGATGTATGCACCAGTGATGTGTGTATGTGCTGATTAAGAGCAGGTGTGTGGTGAGGACTCTACAATGAGCCTTGGGTCCCAGCTGCTTACACAGGCCTCTATAAAGCCACCCCTAGCAACATACTGAACCTGCTGGTCCATTTGCTTCCATTCCTGAGACTGTGGGATAAGGGTATGCCCAGAGAGAGGGACAGGATGGAAGATGGCAGCTCTGTGAGGCAGAGTCTCTGTCAGATTGCTCCCCTCAGTCTCCCTATATACAAAGGAGTCCACACTCCAAGTTTTCCCCTGCACCCACACACCTGCCTGTGACATCAGGGAGGCTAGACAGGAGACTGAGTCATGCCAGGGAGGTAGGGACAGCTGTGGAAAGTGACACAGCGATGAAAATTATCTGAGAAGGGACAGCAAGTGCCTAACATGGTTGTGTTTGCAAGGGTGACTCACAGGGTTTCACCTTCTGAGGCCTGCTGCTTGGTGACCTTTACTTTTCTGTCACAAACACGTGTTGCCCTTTTGATAGGGAAAGAACAGCCCATACAACATGAAGATAGTCGGGTCATCTCCCAAAGCCCTTTCAAAGCTGCTGCCAGGCCTGTGATCTTGAGGCCACCTCTTCTGAGACAAGCCAGCAGCAGGTGACCCGTCACCCCTCGGGCAGAAGAAGCCAGACCCAAAGGGGAAGGACCTGTCCTGGAGCCCAGCTCTGCACCACACCTTCCGCCTCAGGCTATGTGGCTATAAGATGGCATATCTACTTTGAGAACCTCCTGCAGCTTCTGAGAGAGGAGGGACTTTGAAAAGAAAATCAGAAACACAAAAGCACCCATGAGACAGCCCTGGCTGCCATCGTAGCAGGGCACACTCACCTCTGGACAGTCACCACAGACACCACCCAGTCACCCTGCTCTTTAGGACCTAGACAGCCAGGGGCGTCCCTCTCCTGAGAAACGGGCAGGGGAAAGAGGTGCTGCAGGCCTGCTTGAGAAAGATGACCGATCAGGATACCTCTGCTGACTCCCTAAGAGCTGGGGACGGCTCCCTGGGGAGATGCTTGCCTACTGTGTACAGGCCCTGGGTTCCATCCTTGGGGCTGGAGGTACAGCTTTGGGGTGTTAAGAGCACTGGATGTTCTTCCACTGTACCTGGATACAATTTTCAGAACCCATATGACAGCTTATTACCCTAACTCCAAGATCTGACCCCCTCACACATACATGCAGGCACAACACCAATGCACATAAAAAGACAAAAGGTTTTGGAGTAACAGCCCATTCCTGCAAAAGCCACAGTGCTGCTCATGGCATTCTTGCACCTGAGTTACTGTCCTGCTGGGAGAGCAGTACCTGAGGACCCCTCTGGCTGTGTCCCTGCAAATCGAGAAACCACTGTGCTTGCAGTCCGAGGTGCACTCAGGCTGAGCACTCCCAGAGCCACAAGGCAGACACAGAGTTCTTACCTCGCCCTCGGGCCCATGTGTAGACGCGGCTGGCTTCAGCACTCGGAGGCTGGGGTTCTGTGGGCTCCACAGGCAGAGGTCGGAGATGGGGATCATCAGCCTGGCCGGGTGTCTTCAGGGGCAAGATATACTTGGGAAGCCCTTTGTAGAACCAGGCCCCCGACCTCTTCCAGACCTGTGAAGAGACATGTGCTTAGAATACAGGAAGGAGCTGCCTTCCCTCCCTGGATGCTACTCCACGCAGCCCTACTGCTCCTCCTTTCCTGTTTGTCAGTGAAGTGATGGGAGAACATGAGATCCAGAACAGAGTATAGATGAGATTTTCCTTAGTCCTCTTAAGCCAGCGCGCTAGGGTGAGCCCAGAATGACACATTGCAGAAAGTCCTATGAACTCTCCATCCACCCACCCACCCATCTATATATTCATGGTCCTGCTATGTCGCTGAGGCTGATGTGGAGTATCCCATCCTCTTGCTTCCACTTCACGCGTCCCAGAGGGCGCATATGTACTGCCATGTCCAGCTCACCTCCACACCTATTTGAAAACTGACCCCACATTCTCTTGCTTCTCTCTGCACGCCAGGACTGCAGCTCTCCCTTGTGGATTTCTGTACAGACATGGAAAGACTGGAGTCTCCGAGAGCCTCCTATTAGAATTCAGAGTAGTAGCTGAGATAAGCCCCCCCCCCAAACCCTTAATGCCTACTTCAGAAACAGCCAAGAGCTGCATAATCTCTTTCCTATGAAGGGAATGTGCTCAGCATACTGAGTAAGAAGGGATGGAGAAAAGGAGGGCTGGGGGTCACCTTCTCAGAGAAAAGCCAGGCTTGGCTTGGAGAGTTCCACACAGATATTCAGAGTCTGTCCTGGGGCCATCACCCAGCCGTTGTGTGATTTGGACACACAGGGTCTCCTGGACCCTCAGGCAGATCTGGGACGGCACTATCTCATGGAGTGGCCACAAGGATCAGACCATGAGTGGACTTAAAACTTCATAACCCTGCACTGGGTGCAGGGAAGCCACCCCATAGATGCCATGATTACAATCATTATGGTCACCCTATGTGGCAAGCATAGACAATATTATCCTCAGGGGCCAAATACCCTATTTAAAATGAAGAGTTAGAATCAGGATCCCAGTGTTGGCTGACTGAAGTGGCTTCTTCCTCCCTAAATATCCGTATTTAAACTGTGGCATATTATAATAATACCCGAGGAAGGGACAGCGGCAGAGAGCAAGCACACTGTCCCAGGGCATGTACATTTGGGAAGTACTAGTACAAACTAAGATGTCACTGAAGGGCTTCTCTGAGCCTCTGGAGTGCAAATGTGCACAGCATTCTCCAGCAGGACAAAAGAGCATACCATGCTGCCTACTTAGAACCTGCCTGGCTGCCTTTCTAGTCACCCACCCTCCATCCATCCTCCACCTCATTCTTCCCCTGTGCTCCCATGCTTAACTAGCACACAACTTCGCTCCCCACCCCCATGTCTGCTGCAGAAATTGAACAACACTAAGCTGGCCATACCCGGCACTTGCTGAGGGAGGTACAGCTAGTTCTCCCAGGTAGACGAGGGGTCTTCTGAGCTCCAGACTATGGGTCATGGGACTTCTGAGCCCAGAACAAGAGCTCAGTGTGCATCACTCAGCTACTGCTGCCTGCACACAAGGGCCTGGCTTTGGATGGCTCTGTATGGCTTTGTTTCTCAGGTGGTGCTGAAGGATGGGACCCAGGGCCTTGAGCGCGGCAGGCATCACTCTAGTATGGAGTTGTACCCAGGCTGAGTCTCTCACACAGCAGGGACAGTGGGAGGAACGTTCTCTGATGTCCCTGTGAGAAAACCCTCCCACCCATATTTCCATTTCCTGGACTGAAAACCGCTGTGCTTTGAATTCTTGTCTCCTCTCAGAAGAAAGCTTGATCTCCAGGTATGTTGATGGCATTTGGTGGTAGGGCCTTTGGGACACAGTAAGATAAGATAAGGTCCTGGGGATGGGTCTTAGTGACTTTTTAAGAGGAAGAGGAAGCTGAGTCTGCTGGCACAGGTCTATGATCCTAGTAACTCAGGAGGCAGAGGCAGGAAGACCCTGTTCAAGGCCTGACTAAGCTAGAGTGAGTTCAAGGCTATCCTGGGCAACTTGAGATTTTTGTCTCAAAATAAGAAATAAAAAGTGGTCTGAGAACATTGCTCGATATAGAATGCTTCCCAGAGCACTCTAGGTTCCATACATACCTAAGACCAAGGGTAGCATGTTGACCTAGCAAGATGGCTCAGGGTAAAGACACTCAACTCACTCCACAAAGTCGTCCTTGGACCTCCCACATGCCCTATGACACATGTGCCCCTACTACCACGTGTGTGCACACACGCATCCTTGAGCACGCGCACGCACACACCATTTTAAAAATCATGGGCTAGAGATGGCTTAGCAGTTAAGCGTACTTGCTGCTATGGCAGAGGACTCAGATTTAGTTCCCAGCACCCACATGCTGGCTCAAGGCCACCCGTAACTCCAGTTCTAGGGTGTGTGATGCTCTCTTCTGGGCTCTGTAGGGTCCTGTATGCACATGGTACACATACATAGATACAAGCAAGCATTCATACACACAACATTAAAATAAGCACGTCTTTGTAAAAAGGGGCAAGGGGAGCTGTCGAGATGGGCAAGTCTGAGGACCTGTCCCACAGTGGAAGGAGAGAACTGGCTCATACAAGTTGTCCTCTGACCCCTATATGCATCCTGTATGCAAAATAAAGACGTCAAAATGTAAAAACAAGTCTTGCCACATGACACAGCATGGAAACCCTCACTAGACGAAGGCACCAAGCTCTAGGGATTCCCAATGCCTAGAAAGAAGCCAAAGGACCCTCTATGCTTTATCAATTGCCCCATCTCAGGTGTTTTGTTACCACAACAGAAAACAGACTAAGGCAGTAGTAGCACACACTGGTCTAAAATCCACAAAATGCAATTATGGACAGTCTTCCCTCTTTCCAGGGCATATGGTGCCAAAGGTTCCTTGAGGAACTTTGCTACCAACCCCATTTTCCAGGTGGGAAAACTGAGGCTTCGACAAGTTCAGCTGCTTGCCTAAAGTCAACTCAGCATTATATTATTCTTTTTAGACAGGGTCTCATGCATCTAGGCCGGCGTCATCCCCACCATGTATCACAGCAATTATTCTGTGTTAATAAGAAATGGTCTCCACCCACACTACAGTGTATATCCCTCACCTCCCAAATCAGGTTGGCTGTGCTCAGGTTCAGCCTAATGAATCCAGTTCCTGCGGATGACACTGGAACTGTTCCCTTGTTTCTCTGCTGGGAGCTGGGCTAGGCCTCTTCACAGTATACTCACTCACTAGTTCACTGTTGGCTACAGCCTCGATCATGTTCAAAGATCTAAGGCACATCTAACGTTTAGCTGAGATGCTCCAGGAAAGAGGACATCACCATAAGCACAGAAACACACAGGGCAAGGAGGACCCTGGGTCAGATCCCGAGTCTGTACTTCACCTAGGAGCAATTTCCATGGAAGAGGCACTGCTGGGTCCTGAGGTCACCAAATGTAGGTGCTGCAGGATGGACAACAGCGTCACCGGGCTGTCCCCCTTTGTCTTTCAGCCCCTGGCGACCACCTTTTACTTTCTCTCCCTAAGTTTGTCTGTTGCAGCTACCTTATGTAAGTGGAATCATCCAGGAACTAGCCTGTGGCGCCTGGCTCATTTCACTTAGCACAGTGGTCGAGGCTCACGCATGCTGCAGCATCCCGTGGGCGGCTGGAGCCAGTCCCACTGTGTGTATTACACGGCATTCTGTACAGCTAATGTTTATGTGTCCATAGACATTTGGGTCACCTGCACCTCTTGGCTGGTCCTTAAATTGAGCAGTCTCTCTCCCCCACTGGGCTCCATCACCCAAGGAGGGACAGCCATGGCTGTCTGCTCACCACTGTACCTTCAAGTTCTTAACACCCATCAACCTCGAGTAGATGCTCAGTAAACACTGGTTAAACAACAGAATTGATGGCTGTGAGTCCTCCTCAGGAGCATATCCTAACCTATAAGGCTAGTTGCCTTCCTCAGGAAGTGGTCTAGTATGCCAGGAAAGTGCTCTGCCACTGTCCCCAGCCTAGGAAGTGACCTGGTATATCCACCTAAAAAATGGTTTTTTAACAGTTTTTTAAAAATATGTAATTTATTTTTATGTCCATTGTTGTTTTGCCTCATACATGTCTGTATGAGAGGTCAGAAGCCTGGAGTTAGACAGTTTGTACTGCCGTATGGGCTCTGGGAATTTAACCCTGGTCCTCTGGAAGAGAAACCAGGGCTCTTGCCCACTGAGCCATCTCTCGAGCTCCTCACCCAATTCCTTACTGTTGACCAAATGGAATTATTATCTCAGATTCAAAGAGGGGTGAGAAGGAGCATCTAGTAAGTGTGCCGGTGAGAACAAGCCCCCGGGCATCTCCCTGATGGTGCCTACTCCAGCCCTTCCTTCCTGCTGCTCTGTGGCAATGGCACAGCCACCAGAATCCATGCTTCAGCCCTACCATCTACCATAGCAACCCATCTCCACCCCACCTCCCTTCAAAACACTCATCAACAAAGTGCTTTATGAAGATGGGAGAGATCACAGGATCCGAAGTACAAGGCAGAATAGCATGCACTGCCAGGAGTCTCTCTTTTGGGGAGGGGCTATCCAACACCCCAAACTCTATACAAACATATCAACCTCATCCCAGTATCTGTGCTCCATACGCACAGCCCTCCAGGCCAGTCAGGCTAGTGTCTCCCCAGATCTGTGGGCAGGTCTGCAGCTAGCCAATGGAATGATCACTTCTGAAAGATTCTGGTCTGATACTATACTTGTCACTGTCCTCTAGGTAGATGGTCCACTGGCTTACCCTGCCACTCAGAATGGTTGGGATACTGGACTAGTGTAGGGAGCAGCAATTCCTGAGCCCCCTTCCCCATCAGAGGGTCCAGAGCATGGGTGCATCACTCAGCACAGGAGGCGTGCCTGGGCACACATCTACAAAACGCACTGTCAGTATTTTGGAAATCACCTCCCGCATGGCTGAGCAAACCCGGTGAGTCAAGTGTTGGGAATGCCAACTGGGCCAGGTTCTGAGCAGCAATCCCATCCATGCCTGCCCATGTACATCCTGAC